TAAAAAATTTAAAAAGTTTTGAACTACTTATTTTGCATTTTTTTTTTCAGTACTGGAGTTTGAACTTAGGGCCTCGTGCTTCCTAGGCAGGCACTCTACCACTTGAGCCATGCTCCCAGCCCTTTTTGTGCTGTAATTTTTCAGGTAGGGTCTCAAGTTTTTGTTCTGTGCCAACCTTGGGCCATGATCTTCCTACCCATACCTCCCTCCTAGCTGAGACCACAGGCATGCATCACCAAGCCCAGTTTATTTGTCGATATGAGATCTCTACCCCCACCACACCACACCCCATCCCACTCCTGCTCCCTTGAACCTCCTGATATCTGCCTCATAAGTAGCTGGAATTACAGGCAGAACCACTTCACCTGGAGGACTAATTTAAATTTATAGAAAAGTCAGAAAAATAGTGCAGAGTTCCCATAGGCCCTTGATCTGGGATCCCCTAAGGTTAACAGCTTTTACAATTATAGCACATTGGTTAAAACCAAGAATTTATTATTAACTTATTATTATAGGAGGTAGCACGATTTCCCGCTTCATCACCAAAAAGCAACAGGTGAGAATCATGTTCCTGATCTGAATACGCTGAACATTAAAGAGCAGCCAGAATGCCAGTCCTGATCCTGCCTTTAAAAAAATCAAGTTATGTTTAAAAACCAAGAAGTAAAATCCGTGTTGTTTTCTGATGGCTTTTAACTATTGAGTTAGCCACCATCTCAGAAGTAGGTGGAAGAAAAAGACACTTCTCCAATAGTTGGTTTTGTTTTTGAAATATAAAAATGTGTATTTCTTAACTTTGACTCTTAATTTTTTTTAAATCATGAAGTCAGTTCTTTACAATTTTGAGGTTCTGGCAAAGACTAGCTCTATATTAAATGAACTTTGCTGGCTGATACAGTAAATTCTTGCTTACACTGTATCCTCTCTGTTGCTTTCCCGTCTTTGGTCTTTGAGCAATTCACAGATGGTATAATAAGGAAGGACATCGTTTTAGTTATTCATTGCTATTGAGCACAACACATTCTCTGGATTTCCGTGGTTGTTCTGCCAAGGAACACAGACTAGCAGTTGATGCCAACAATCGCAACACACAGAATTTGGACATTCTCGTCTTTCCTCTACCCCCTCACAGAGAGAAGAGTTTCTGCCTTGCCTTGGAAGGTTCTCCTCAGGAGTTGTGACCAGGGACTTGTAGACTGTGGAACCATCAAGTCCCCCTTGCAGGTGTAAACCTGGGCACACAAAGCCATGGAAAGGAAGTTACACATCAAACCTAAGTCAGCCAGAGAAGCAAGTTAGAGCCAAGAAGTGTTGCTTTCGATTCTGGCAGTGACATTCCAAAGGAGAACAATTAAAATAAAGGGAGTTTGGAGAGCAAGCAAAGAGAAGCCAGGGAATTAGAGCTCTTTTGCTCCAAAGCCACACAGGGGCTTGTCTGAAGTAAAATGCACGAAAGCCTGTCCTTTTATTGAGAATGGCACAAGAAGTAAATGCTGGTAGCTTTCAGGCTAACTGATACTTCTAGTTCTAAGAATCACTGAGCCTTCAAGACCCTGCTTAGGTACTTCCACCCCACCATCTCCAGGCCTACCAAAGAACAGATTGACCATGACCTAGTTGGGTAGAACCAGCTTGTTTCAGGGTTTGTTTCAAATGATCCACCTGAGGTGGGCCATTAGCCATGCTTGGACAAGAAGCTCTCAGAAATTATTCTATTCTTAGCCCTCTGTGTGGGATTTGGGAAGAGAGAGAAATTAAAGAAAGAAGCAAATCACACAAATGTTAACGTTTCACTCAAGGCAGAAGAAAAAGCTTTCTTATTCCAAAGTCTTCATGGGGGTTTAGCTCATCATGGAAAATCAGAATTCCTACTCGCCAGCAATTCTGTCCCACACTATTTCTTCTAATTCACCATCATATTTATGTTAACAAATAGCATTGTTAGAAAGGACAAACTAAGTTGTATGCCTCTCTGCACTCTATTCTGTGAACAAAGATTGATAAGGAGGTAAATTTACATCTTAAAGAATATAATTTACCTAGAACAACTCTATATCAGCATTGCCCAACTAAAATAGATAGGAACCACATACGTAATTTTTAGTTTTCTAGTAGCCACATATAATAATAAAAGTAAAATGATACTGGTGAAAATAATTTTAAGAAGATATTTAACCCAGTATCCCAAAATATTATTCCAACATGTAATTAACGTAAGAATAATCAATGGGGTATTTTATAATTTTTGTTTCACATTAAGATATTGAAATCCAGTGTGTATATCACACTGACAGCCCTTCTCAATGTGGACTGGCCACATTTCAAGTCCCTGATAGCCATATGTGGCCAGTGGCTACTGTACAAAGTGGCACAACTCTAGAGATAGATATTAATAACTGGTGAGTTAGTTGTATCCAGACAGGGTGGAAATCTTAAATTATTTTGAGGGAGGTGAGAACAAGACTAGACAGTTTTTATGAGGTACATTTCCTTATATGAGAAAACTATAATTACCTTCCAAGCAATGAGTCACTTAAAATTGTGATCCATTAGCAAATGTAGTTTCGTATTACATGCTATTATATGACCTGACTTTAAATGTCTTACTTCTGTCATTGGTAATCTTGGAGGGTATTCAGTTTGGGGCAGTAAACTTGGCTAAATGCTACGCATACCAAATATCTGCAATATTCTCTTTGAGAAAGTGCCCAATTGGCAACCTGACAGATTCCACTGGTTCTGGTGGCCTCAAGCACAGGGAAGGAACAGTGCCCAATTCACATTGCTATTTAAGATTTGTCCATGAGAGGACCCCAGTGACCTGAGTTTCATATCCTACTTTTTCCCACATTTGAAAGTATTTTTAAAATACTACCATCCCCAGCCACCCAACATGGACTCCTCTAAACACTTTGTTATTCCTCTTTAAGCCCTCAGGCCAAGCATTGGTTACCTTAGAGTGAACATAGAGAAAAGAAATAAGAAATGGTCTGTCTGTTGTATTCATTTTCATAGTCCTGATAACAATACAGCGCCAAGTGTTAGGTAACTGTGTTAAATACAGTTTCTAGACCAGAAAAGATTGATTCTTGCCTAGTTAGGAAGTTAGAACTTGCTCTATAGACCAGCATATCCAAACCTGTAGGGTTGGGTTGTTTGATCCAGTCCTCCAGATGCCCCGGCCTTTTGTATTGAGTATATCCAGCTTATGTTTGGTCCTGAATCACAGCCTCATTAGACCCTTGGGACCTTAAAGAAGCCCCATCTTCTTCCCAAGGTAATAGCCAATCCTTACAGTGAGCTCAACCTCAAGGTCACTGTTTCGGTCACTGTCACTGGTTGCACCTGCTCCTATTTTGATGTACCCAGGACTTTCTTAACTCCAGTCCTGAGTAGGCAAATGTGCTCTACTGCAAGCATGACTGCTTCTTTGGATTTTTGCCACACTCAAGTTGAATCAAGCTTTTTAGGTCAAGTGCATTTTAACTACTAACCAATCCATGTTTATAGGCCATAGTGTTATTGCACAAACAGAATATGGCGAAAGCTTAAAGAACTTGCAGGAAACTTACACCATGTGGCAGTAGTCATGCTCACCTCCTACCATTCCTTCTTGTTAAGCCAGGGTGAGTTCCTTTATTGTATAGTCATAATCTTACTAGTTGCTTTATAAATTTGCCCAAATATTTGCCATGAAGAGAATATAGAAAAAGTCAGTATGTTGACACACTTTTTGGGTTCTTTAGATTCTAAAAATATTGGTGCAAGCTGTTTAATCTTTATTATAGAGTCAAAACAAGTTCATATTCCTATTGAAAAATGATCATTAGTCTATATTCTTATAACTGTTTTTGTCATAATTTAACCTTCCAAACATGTTTCATTTCTTCATTTTTCTAACAAAACCCTTAATCGTAGATTTTGGTAGTAAGGTCGCCTAACCAAATGGTCGTTAATCACATTCTTTACCCCGAGGCCTATTGTTCTGTAAACCTGGCATCTCGTTATTAAGGGGGAAAATGTTGATCCTGCCTCACAAGTGAAATTTGGAGCTTTGAGTGTGTCAAAAAAATAACTTCTGAAAATTTAATTCTCATGTAGGGCCTTTTTGGACCCAGAATAATTTTCAAGTGCCATGGGTATTGAATGACCTTTTGACTTGGTGAATAGCCTTACTTTATGCTCTTATAAGTGTTAGTAACCCGTTCCTGATTTTTCTCATAATTTAGTTCCCATATTTATTATATAGTTACACTGCCATTTCATAGCTTGACTTCTAGAATGTTATAATCAAAATCCCACAAATGGCATGTCCATTTTTAAGAAGAGATTTAGAGAAATGCTGAGGTGAGATGGTACCTTTCAAGTGGGGTTGGTTTTACTATTTTTATTTTGTGCCCAATATTAGAAAATTATCGTCCCTGCTACCCTCAGTTTAATGCTGGGTACAAGGGAAGCGCAGTGTGTTCCCAGGAGCCTTACTTAAGACACTGTGGAATTAGGGGGAAGACTTACAATCTAGAGCAAGATTTCTCAAAATTCCATGAGAACCGTGCAAGCTCCTTTTCAAGTTCATAAGAACCACTGTGGTGCTTGTTATTGTAACAGGTTCCTCCTGTCCTGATTGCCTGGTCCTTAATTTAGTAAATCTGGACTAATCTGCATATGTGAGTCACTCCAGGTGGTCACACTTGGAGACTGTCACCAGATGTTGTGCTCCTTAAATTTGAATGTGTTTACTGGTCCCATTGGGATTTGTTAGAGGTGCAGATTCAAGGTCAGCAGGTCTGGGGCAGAGCCTAAGATTCTGCATTCCAGCAGACTCCCCTTCATTGTGTACCTCAGTCTACCTTTCCTTCTATAAATAACCTGCCGCCTGTTTGTTACTGACTGAACACAGTTGGGCTGGGTTTTGACCTCTTTTCAATTTTCTGTTTGATGAAATTCTCGCTCACCTTGCTGATTGTGTCCTCTTTATTTATTTTCTGCAACACATGTAGATGGGCACCGGTTACATCCTGAAGTGCCGTCAGCTATAACCAAAGTTCCTGATCCCAAGACCACAGACAAAAGTTCCCGATCCCTAGAACTGAAGACCATGGAGCTCTCTGACAGTGACCGACCTGTCAGCTTTGGCTCCACCTCATCCTCAGCCTCTTCCAGGGACAGTCATGGTTCCTTCGGCAGCAGAATGACCTTGGTTTCAAATAGCCACTTGGGCTTGTTTCACCAGGATAAGGAAGCAGGGGCCATCAAACTGGAGCTGGTTCCAGCCCGGCCTTTTTCCAACAGTGAGCTGCAGAGGGACAACCCTACTGGACCACAGACCATGGATGAGGGCACTGAGCAGCAGTCCAGGGCTCCATGGAGAGTGGATGTGAGTGGCACTCCCAAAACAACCGAGGACTTGGCCACCAGTCCCAAGCTCCTCTATGTGGATAGAGTTGTGCAGGAAATTCTGGAGACCGAAAGGACTTACGTACAAGATTTAAAAAGCATCGTGGAGGTAAGGCAACCTTTGCTTTTTCAAATTCATCAAGCAGGAGACCTAGGCTTGCAAAATAGAGCAGTTGAGCAAAACCTAGGGCCATGCTTGCTGAGTTAACATCTCTTTTTATTTGCCCTAATTAATCATGTATCAGGAGCAAGAATGATGATACCATGCAGGTACCTGTATGTTGTGTTAATAAACCCACAGCAGAAGTCTCAGAGTGCTTTCAAGATGGCAGAGCTGATAAGGATGGGGTAGAACTGCAAGCTTCCTGGTGAATAAGTGTCACCAATTCATCTGAATAGTCAGGTGTAGCCAACTGAACCCATCAGCTGTTTTTACTATAATCACAGTTGTCTACTGGTGTCCAGGAATTTCTAAACTACTGATAACCTGCCCATCTCAGAAACTAAGTCCACTGACCTGGAGTGTGGCCTGCACAGTGGAACTGGCGAAGACACCCCAGTGACTCTAATGCCCGAACAAGCCTAGAGTCACTGTTCTGTGCTCAGCCTGTATTGACTGAAGTTTGAGTGAAGGGAGTGAGAGGTAGAAGAAAAACCATGGGTTTTTTTTTGTCTCAACTTCAGTATTTCTTTTTCTAATCACTTTTATGCAAACAATTTATCATAAATTGTTTTTGCATAAATTATTGTAATTTATTAATTATGTGCATAAATTATTTTATGGGAATTGAGTGTAGCTCAGGTTCCAGCTCACATCTTCTGGAAATTTAGTTATTAATTTGATTTTGATTTCTAAGTAGGTTTTTGAGGATAAAGCCAGAATGAGCAGTGGAGCTCTTTCTCAATTTATGGTTAAGAATAGTATTATGTCAGGAGCAAATCTATATGTTATAAAGATATACTCATTTTGCTTCCTAGTATGATACTGAATTTATTCACTTGTTAGTAACTGTTTTAGACTTAGGCTGTTTTAGACTTTCAATCTAAGATGTGTTTCATAATACAGAACATTTGCTGATGAGCACATTCTCCTCCAAAGACATGTATTCTTACAGCTTTCAAAAATCCTAAACATGACCATGTATTGAGTTCCATAAGTGACAGAACCAGACACTGTCTCCTAAAAATAGTCATGACATAACTTTCCAGTAAAAATAGAAAAGTCAATTGATGCTCAACCAAAACAATCTGTGGTACCAAATGTAGAAAAAAATAAGCCAATGTTTAAAAATTGCAGCAATGATGTCATTTGTACTTGAGAAGAAATACCTGTGAAGCAGCCAAAAATTTTACTTCTCAGGAAACTTGTGGTTATTAAGGCTGTCTTTTGTATATGCTATTTTCTTAGAAACTTTTCCATCTAATGAAAGCTCACCTTACTAAGAGAGGAACTTTTTTAGTTACTGAACAGTATTCCTTGAAGACTCTTTTTTTTCCTCCTGATGCTGGTTGATAAACCTTGGAAGAGAAGAAATAAGGTCTGAAACCTAAGAAATACGGTTTCTTTCTTAATGAAAGAAAACAGATTTTTTTTTCCCCCTAAGGACTTTTCAGTATATGTGCTAGTTGAAGCTGTCCAAATGTTCTCACCATGTTTCTGGATCATGAGTTAGCCATGGATTGCACTAGGGTTGCTGAGATTTTCTATATAGGGTCAGATAGTAAACAGTGTAGGCCTTCTAGGCCTCAGGGTCATAGTCCCCAGTTCAGCCACAGTAACCCCAAAACAGCAATGGACACTATAAACCAATAAACCTGGAATTCCAGCAAATCTGTAGGCCCCTGCTTAGCCCAAGGACCATAGTCTGCTGATGCCGGTTTTAATCTACAAATTTGTGTCACATATCAACTCTGAGATGAGACTAAAAATAGTACCTGCCTCAAAAGATTCTTAGAATTAGATTAAATAGCACCTGAAACTACATACAGCAGTGCCTGGTACCTGGTAGGCAATTAATAAACAGAATTCGCCAGCACCTCTGAATTTGCTGGTTGAGAGTGGTCACCATGCTTTACCAAACATCTTTTCCCAAAATAATCAGGTTAGCCAGTTCCCAACAGCAGAAATTTAATTAGGGGAAAAAGGTTTTAATTGGTAATTCTGATTTTATTGTTTTGAATGAAATTGGATTATTTCTAACAAATCCACTGAAACTGAGGCAGAACCTAGACAGAGGGAGGTAGAGGAGTATGTGGGGCGGAGGACTGTAGGGGAAGAAGAGGCCAAATGTAGAGGGGGTACCAGGTAAGAAGTAGATTTCCTTTGTTCCAGAAGTCACTAGAATGCTGTGTTACGTGCCCCACCTGGAAAACTTTGAAATCTGACCACAGATGATGAAAACACACTGTATTTAAGAATCTAGAAGAAGGGATTTTTGAGTGTTTTCACTATAAAGAAATGATAAATGTTTGAGGAGATATGCCTTTCCTGATTTGAACATTCCACACTGTATGCTTGTACTGAAACGTCCCATGGTACCTCATTCACTTTTTTACATGCCCATTAAAAGAAAGAAAGTAAACTTTGGAGTGTTTTTAGACCTCCTATCATTATGTGACATCCCAGGATCAAAACTTAGGAGCTGGTGGTGTATCTCAGTGCTAGAGCGCATGCTAGCTAGCATGTGTGAGGCCCTGGGTTTCATTCCCACAACAATAAAGTTAAGGTAGGATGGAAGTGGAGGGAGGGAGAGGGGGAGAAGGTGAAAGGGAGGGAGGTCAAAATTTAATAGAATGGTCTAATAGAATAGTTCCACCCATTTTATCAAGTTCTTTATGAAGAGTAACCAATTATTTTCCCACCATCTCCCAACTTTACCCAACAAAGACTTGTGTATATCAGTTCCTCTGAAATCTATTTTGCTTGATCTGTTTCTAATTTGTTTTCATAATTCTCTAAGTGAATTCTCAAATATCACCCATTTTCCAAAGGAAGACTTTTAACTTGGAAAAAGGACTGCTTGTTTACAACCTATACAATAAGTTATTACCATACCTACAGGACAGATTTCCCTTAGTTGGCTTTTTCTAAGCAAAAATTATTTCTGGGAGAAAAAAACCAGTGTTATTATTTAGGCATAACTAATAAGTCATTTTCCTTTCTGCAGTAGTACAATTTTTGTCTTCGTACACGTTGCTTTATTTAATCTCAGTTAACTGACATCAGTCAATAACATTCCCAGTTTAATTAATTTCACCGTAAGTGGCACATTTTATCTATGTGCCATATAAACCTGAGCTCAGGTTTAGATTTCATTTTTAGGAATTGTAAACTAACATTTTGTGAAAGAGCATTGATATACACACTGTTTTAGCATGATTTGACATAATAAACATGGACCCATATATCAGAGTAGCTTATTTCTGAGAAGAGTTCTTTCTAACCGTAGTGAGGCAGTGGGACTCCAAGGTGTTGGTTACACATGCAAAGAAAGTCATGTGTTTTCTTTCCCATATGTGGAGACAGTGTCTTAAAATAATCCCAAATATATAGACTTTTTTCTTGGCCTTGCCAATTGGGGATTCAGAAATTAATCCCTAATGTTTTCAGATAATTTAATTTAAAAATGATGTTCTCATTCCTATCTCTCTTCATTGCTTGCCTTCCTCCCCAGACCCTTATCTCTGGATCCCTGTCCCCCTGCCATGGCTACTCTATTCTCTCCTCTGCTCCTTTGCCAAATGGTCCCAATGGCCTAGGTATTTTTTTTGTGCACTTGACATTGTGGGGTGGGTAAGATCTTGACTGTCACCCATACCCACAGGAATAATAGGGCTGTTATTTCCATATTTATACATTGACTCCTAGGAGCACTCACTGATGAAATGAGGTGATAGCTAAGAAAGCAGTTAGAAGTAAGATAGGCAGTGACACCTGGGGAGATGGAAATTCTTCCGAGAGCAGACCTTAAGGGTCTCTTTCATGTTTAATGGGACTCCCATTGACTGAGCAAGGGCTCTCCTGGCAGGGTGGGTTTCTTTAATCTTCTAAATGATCTGTAAAAGAGTCTTTGAGCGGCTTCCTAAGATTGGGTCTCAGACAGAGTCCATGACCTCTTTCACCCTTTCAGTGAAGTTTTAAGATAGTCCATAATGTTAAATAATGCTGTAGAACTGGAAGTTACATTCCCACTAAAAATGGCATCTTTGAACTCTGACACAATAAATTAAGACATCTTTTGGGATGTGGAAGACATGTATATTTAGTGGGAAAAGTGGATAAAATAATAAGCTGTACTTTTAGTTTTTCTATCATATACTAGAGGCCTAAAATTCTTTTCAAGCCCCATTATCTACAAAGTGTGTTACAGTCTTGATGTCCAAAATTTCAATTGCCGGAGTTTCAGCATGTCTCTGCTGGAAGTGAATTCAGCATTACTACAAGCTGGGACTGAAGGAGGATTCAAATGGTGACCTCCACCCTCCCCATCCCCACTCCCCCACCCCCGCTGCTTTTCGTATTGAGTGACTGTGTGGAGGTATCTGGGTAGGTGGACATCTAGTCTTGAGACCCTGGAAAGCTGTTCTGGCTGGCTGCCATAGCTTGAAAAGAGGCTCCTCTGAGTTTTGGTGGCACCACAGTAGTGGGGAGGACACCTGTCCTGCACTTGGGGAGCAGGCCTTCTCCCAGTTTGTGCAGATTGAAAGGGCCTGGAGAGTCTGTGCAGCAAGCTCACAACACACTCGTTCTCAGCGCTCAGCTCTGGGTCTTGTGTGGTGTCTGACTGAGACAGGTGGAATCTGAGTTGGCTTTTGTTCTGGGCACCCTTCCCTTCAGGACAACACTGCTGAGATCCGGGGTGGTTCCCATTGATCCTGTGGGAGACAGAATCATGGGTGTGGGAAGGGCAGTATGTGTGCCACTTTCCTCATAGCCAAATTCCAATGACTGGGTGGGGGATGATGGGCGGGGCTATTCCCTGGACCAGCCATCTGACCCCCACTTCTTCCAAAAAGAGAAAGGTCAGGCTAGGAGAGGGAAGACTGTCAGGAGGGGAGATTGTCACAGATTTTATTGTCCTTTCTCTGCTGTGTCCTCACTTGGTCCTC